GTCTTTTGTTTGTGTTCCTTTCTAGGGGAAACGAAAAAGCTGCTGAAAACTTACAGCTCCCCAAAGATCTCCCAGGGCAGTGCCTCACAGAAGTTTGCAGGTTTGCTGCCTCCACCTCCTCCTGTCCCTCCAGGGTTTCAAGCTCCCCAAGATCGCAGCACCCGACAAGAGTAAGACAGGATCCGAAGTGTCTTTGTGGTCTGTCATAAAGCAAACATTGCTTTACGATAGAATCATAGAATTGCTTGTATACAGTGGTGCCTTGCATAGCGATCGCTCCGTATAGCGATGAAATCGCTTTGCGATGGACTTTTTGCCATCGCAAGAACGATCGCTTTGCGATGGTCGCTATGGGGAAAATTCGCTTTGCAATGATCGCAGGGAAGCGATCATCGCAAAGCCCCCATTTTCGGCCATCTGATCAGCGGTTTCAAAATGGCTGCTGGGTAAACAAAATGGCCACCTGCTGTTTTGCCTCACTTTAGAGGCACTGAAAATGGCTGCCCCTATGGAGGATCTTCGCTTTAAGGTTAGTTTTTAGCCCATAGGAACGCATTAATCAGTTTTAATGCGTTTCTATGGGCTTTTTAATATCGCTTAGCGATGAAATCACTTAGCAGCAATTTTTGCTGCATGGATTAACATCGCTAAGCGAGGCACCACTGTATTTGGATGTTGGGCTACAACTCACACCCTTCCCAGTCTTAGTGGCATGGCAGATGATGCATTTTGCTGGCTGTCAAGATGAGGAAGGCCACAAATAGTTCATCCTTATTCTGTGTATAAACCCAGGAGAAGCTAAGGATACTTATAGATCCTTTTAGGGCTGTACAAATTTACAAATCAGTTCAGTTCTGGGGCACAGAGTGAATTGGATACGGCACAAATCAGATTGAATTAGGATATAATTCAAAGCCCCGAATTCTGTAAGACCCACTTACAGTCCTAAATTCTACAGTATAGAAGAAACAAATAAACATACGGTATCTTCTATTGGAATAATTTCTATGTAGAATTTAGTTCATTTGCTTGACAGATAATAGACCTTTATCAATTTGTATACGTGGAAAAACAGCAGTCTGAAAAAATGCACTTTGTATGTAAGGATGTATCAAAGCATATATCTTACGTTAGAAGAGGTCTTTAACAGAAGAAGGAATGCCTCTTCAGAGAAGAGGCTGAATCTCTTCAATTTTTATGAAGAATCAAAATCCATAAGATTTTTAGAAATACATCTTTCTAGTTCATTAATTTTTCCCCCAACCCACCAGGCTTAGATCTGATTCACTGGACAGATTTTGCAGCCATTTTTAAAGGCTGCAACCGTGATTCTCAAACTTCCCCAGAAGCTTAAAATTTTTGCAGCCCCAAGACTTCAGCCAGTATTCTCAAATGTCAGGGATTCCAGAGGGTGGAAGTCTTAAACAACCCGGAGCATCTAAGGTCAAGAACCAGTAGCTCAGAGCGTGCCTAGCCCTGGTCAAGGAAGTCATGCTTTGATAGTGCTCAGATGTTGTTTTTTGAACTCAAGAGGTTGTGAGAGTCACAGCCGCCTGGAGTGATTGAGCTCAGCTGTGCTGTAGAATTCACATACGGTGGTGCCTAGATGATGAGAATCCGTTCCACTGAAATTGCTGTTTAGTGAAATCATTGTCTAGCGAAAAGCATTTCCCCATTGGAATGCATTGAAACCTGTTTAATGCATTCCAATGGGGAAGAATAGTCGTTGTCTAGCGAAGATCGGCCATAGGAAAGCCGCTTTGCGAACCACCAATCATCTCTTTAAATAGCTGTCTTGCGAAGCTTAGCTCCCGAAAACACCCGTTTTGCGAGCACGGATGGAGTTGTCAAAATCGTTGTCTAGCGAAAATCAGTTTGCAAAGCAGGGACCAAACACTGTCCAGCGAAATTTCCCTATAGGAATCACTGTTTTGCGAATCGCTATAGCGATCGCAAAAAGTCAATGTCTAGCAAAAAAACTTTCATGCGGAGTAACTGTCTAGCGAGGCGCCACTGTATCATTTGGGATGGAATGAGGGGCAACACACTGGAGCTGTATCGAAATTTCCCCTGTGCTGCTGACTCATCTTCCAGTTGTGCCAGATGCTTAAAAGAGGCTGGCTGCTCCCCCCCTCTGGCAATGGAAAGAAGAAGCTGCTGCTTTGCATATTATCCTCAGGTGCTGGTATGATGGATCATCTCTAAAGGGTGGGGTGGGGTGGGGTGGACGGGAAATGAATTCCAGCCACACCTTCTACCTACTTTGCACTTAAAAAGCTACAAATCATATCACGAATCCATGCCTTGCTGAGAGGAAGCATTTTTTTGCTTAATAGGGCAGGCCATCTGTACAAGAGCCCAGCTATTTAAGTAAATGGACAATTATCATTCCAGGAAAGTAAATCAATCCATTAGTGAATATCAGCTGACTCCATCCTTTTCTTGCTGCCCCCTGAATGCCACATTTATAAAGCGGGAAACGTTGTCCTTGGATCTGTGCATGAAATAATTCCAGTGTCGTTCTGAATTTATGGGCAATTACACAATAATTGGCTGCTCTGTTGAAAATACATTCTCTTGCAGAGCAGATCAGGGCAGGGTTTGCTTGAGAGAGCAGGCAGCTGCAGATTTTCTGTGCTGCTTCTTACCATGGATGGGAATCTCCTCCGACCGTTGCCTTCCAGGGATGGGGCAGCCGCAATGGCAAAGTGGGAGCAGAAGGAGTTTGTAACCCAGAAATCCAGAGATTAATGTTTTGCTAGGTGAGGCCTGTCATGTGATGAACATCTGTTTGTTACAAAAGTACTATATTAGTCTTACCCCAATAAGGTATCCTTTGAATAGAATCACAAAATGATGGAGTTGGAAGGGACCTATAAAGTCATTGGATACGACCCCCTGTTCAATGTAGGAATCCAAATCAAAGTATATTTGACAGATGATTGTCTGCTTTTCTCTTCAATGCCTCCAGCATTAGAACACTCACTACTTCCCTAGGTAGTTGGTTCCACTGTTAACAGTTAGGTAGCTTTTTTCCTGATATTCAACTGAAATCTGGCTTCATGGAACTTGAGCCCATTACAGTGGTGCCTCGCATAGCAATGTTAATCCGTGCAGCAAAAATCGCTGCTAAGCAATTTCGTTTAATGCGTTCCTATGGGCAAAAAACTGACCTTAAAGCAACGATCCTCCATACGACTGCCATTTTTGCTGCCTCTTAAGCGAGGAATCGGCACGAAAACACAGCGGATGGCCATTTTTTTTTAACCTGGCGGCCATTTTGGAACCGCCGATCAGCTGTTTAAAAATCATCGCTTTGCGATGATCGGTAAGTGAAACAAGGAACCGATCATTGCAAAGCGATAAAACCCCATAGGAAACATCACAATGCGATCGCTTTTGCAATTGCAAAAAGTTAATCGCTATGCGGTTTCATCGCTAAACGGAGCATCCGTTAAGCGAGGCACCACTGTATTATGTGTCCTGCACTCTGGGATGAATGAGAACATATCCTGTCCCTCCTCCGTTTGACAATTTTTAAAGTATTTGAAAACTGCCATCCTATCTCCTCACCTTTTCTCAAAGCTAAACATGCCCAGTTCTTTCAGTCTTCCCTCGTGGGACTTCGTTTCCAGTCCCCTGATCATCCTTGTTGCCCTTCTCTGAACTTGTTCCAATGCGTCAGCATCCTTCTTAAAGTGTAGTGTCCAGAACTGGGCACAGTGTTCAGGATAAGGCCTAATTAGTGCCAAATACGGGGGGAGGGCTTGGTTTGGAGACTATACTTCTGTTAAGTGACAAATAGAGTGGGAACTGGTTTGGAGACTTTAATGCAGCCTAAAATTTCTGCAGCCACAGTGCACTGTTGGCTCATATTCATCTTGTGGTCTATAACAGTTCCAAGCTCCTTCTTGCATGGAGTATTACTGAGCCAAACATCCCCATCTTGTGCATTTAGTTTTTACCCGTAGGTGTAGAATATTGCCCTGATTCCTGTTCAATTTCATTCTTGTTTTTTTCAGCCCAGTGCTCAAGCCCACCTTATTGAATTTTGTTCCTCTCATCCAGGGTATTGACTATTCCACTCAAAATTGTGTCATCTGCAGATTTGACAGGCCTTTTCTGCATTCTCTCATCCAGGCTATCAATAAAAATGTTGAAGAGTATTGGGCCCAGAAGTGATTCTTATGGTATTCTCAGTTTGAGAAGGAGATACAATTCTGTAACTGCGTATCCACCTGACAGTTGTTCTATCCAGCCACCATTTGTTTAGCTTGTTAATCAGAACATCATGGGGCACTTCGTGAAAAGCTTTGTTGAAGTTAAGAGATAATAATTTTAATAATAAAAGAAATCAAGATGTATTATGTTTACAGCATTCCCACTATCTCCCAGAGAGGGTAGATGATAAAAAAAATTAGACAAGACTAGTCTGGCACGATCCATGTTGCCCCCTGGTTATTACTGCATTGTGGTTAAGGTGCTTGCAGAATGACCACTTTATAACCTGATCTAGAATTTTCTCTGGGATTGATATCAGACTGATTAATCCGTAGTTCCTGGATTCCTCCTTTTTGTTCTTTTTGAGGATAGGGAGAACATTAGCCCTCCTCCAATCATCTGGCACTTCAGCTATCCTCCATGATTTCAAGGAAATACAGTGGTGCCTCACTTAGCGATTGCCTTGTTTAACGGTGTATTCGCTTAGCGATGAGGTTTTAGGAGCGATCTTGCGCTCCGTTTGGCGATGTTTCCAATGGGGAAATTTCGCATAGCGATGTTCAGGACCATGCCTCGCATAGCGATCACAGTTTGGGTCCCCCTGTTTCGCTTAGCGATGTCCGTTTTTGCTATTTTTAAAGTGTCTTTAAATGTTCAAAAACTGTTTAAAATGCTTGGAATCGTTAGTGCACCTTGTAAAACCTTTGCAAACTTAATATGGCTTTGTTCTGAGTCTTCGTTAATTTTTGGTGAATTTTCCCCCCATTGGAATGCACTGAACTGTAGGTTTGACAGCTGAGCTTCATATTTTGACCACAAGTCCTCTCACCGCTGACCATCATCTAGGCTAATGGGAACCAGAGTCTAAAGCAAGTTAGAATAACTGTGGTCCCACAGATGATTTTGGTCTACAATTTATGCAAGAGTGAGCACTTAGGGTAACCCATAAGAAATATCAGGTGGGCACTAGTAAATACAGTGTACCCTCTACTTATGGAATTAATCCGTATTGGAATGGTGGCTGCAGGTCGAAAATTCTGTAGGTCGAGTCTCCATTGACCTACAATGCATTGAAAACCGATTAATCCGTAACCGGCCGTTTTTGTTCCATTTTGTTTTTTTTCTGGTCTGTAAGTCGATCCTCTGGCTGCAAGCCAAACCTAAATTTTGCAGCCAGAGAAGTCTGTAACTCGAAAAGTCTGTAAGTCGAGCCGTCTGTAAGTCGAGTGCGGCCAGAGAGGTCTATAACTTGAAAAGTCTGTAAGTCGGGCCGTCTGTGAGTCAAGGGTCCACTGGAGCAGAATGGCTACACTGAGGGTGTCATATTTTGACCATATCAAAGAAAGGGTTAGCAGAAGCTACTAAAAAATATAATAAAGTTAGTGAGGCTGGAGGCATTTGTAAGGAAAAGAGGAAGACTGATGGACTGACCCAGTAAAGGAAGTTTTTCTGTTACCTAAGTGGAGCTGTTAATGATAATTAATTCATAGGCTCACCATAACATCAGTGTCTTAGCTTTCAGAGAGAAAGTCAAGCAGGATTTGATGTAGAACCCATTAACTGATCTTTTGGTGGTCAGTGCTAATTGTAGAACTCTCCTTCAACACAACATTTCAAGTGCATCGCCTTCCCCTCCCCCCATGTTTTGGCTTTCTTCATTATCCTAAGGCCTACATCATCATAAAGTCCTGTTTGTCAACTAAACTGATACTACCTACATGATGGGACCTTCATAGGCTTTGAACTACAACTCCAATCAGTTCTAGCCCCCAACCCAACAGTCAGGGATTATGGGGGATGTAGTTCAACATTTCGGAGGGGTATCAGTTTAGGAAAGTCTAGCCCAGTCTTGTTGTGAATGTTCATAAGGTAAGAGAAGGGTGGAAAGACTTAACCGATTAAGACGTCTCCTAGTTATGGAGTAAGTGCTGCTGAAATACTTGGGCCCACTATAAAAGAGACAGAAGCAATTGAAAAACAACAGCTAACTTTTACTAAGAAAGTTACATTAAAAGATAGAAAGGCCTACGTCCTAATTCTAACTAGACAGGTGCCTTAAGCAGCACATGGGAGAAGGAACAGCAACATGTCCGCTCCGCATTGAGCCAGGAAAAGAAAGGAAAGGTGTATGATGGACAGATTCTGAGATAGACACAGAAAGAAGTAGAGATCAGAAGGACTAAGGACAGACAACCTCCCTGGTTCCTCTCCTCTGAAATGCCCGTTGTGGTCTTTGGGGCTTGACGGATGGGCAGAGGAGATGCTTGGAGGACCGTGTCAAGTCAGAAGTCCTACCCCTGTTATAAAACATGTGCTATGCCACAGACATGTTTGTAAAGCATGTACCCCACCTACCCCACAAAATATTTTCTTCTGAAGGAAAGAGAAGTCTCCGTGAAAATAAATGCCCACCCATTCCTGCTCCAAACCAACCTCTAGCCATCCAATGGTAGACAACAGCTTTCTGATTCTATTTTCCTTATGATATCAAGCAAGCGATGCTGGAGGCCAGGGCTAGGATTTGAAAATAGGTTGCCTCTGCTATGGACGAGATGTTCCCAGTAACGTGAAGAAGTTTCGCCAGTGCCTCATGTACGGTTGACATGTCCAGGATCCTCAGGCTTCTGCGAGGGACTTTGTCTATAGCTATGAGAGCACTTGCTTCCTTATCATGATTTACCAATGATTTTCTCCCTTCTGAAACTAAGCAAGTGACGAGGAGCAAACACGAAAGGACAATTGGCCGCCAGCAAAAAATGCAAATTTTGCTTTATATCATTGTTCCCAAATTGGCTTTGCAAATATACAGATTATGAGGATATCTAGAAAAATATATTGCATCTGTTTTGTATTTATTATGCTTTTTTTGGAGCTAAAATACAAGAAGGAACACATTCTCGTTCTATTTGACAACACGTACTATTAGCCGACTCCAACGAGACCCGGGAGATCCAACTTGAGTCTGGCTTAAGCTTCATATAGATCTCCCAACTTCAAATCATAGCATAATGAAATTGGAAGGGGCCTATAAGGCTATCGAGTCCAGCCCCTTGCTCAATGCAGGAGTACAGGTCAAAGGAGATCTTCTAGGTAGTTGCCTAAATTTCTCTTGAATGCTCCCAAGGTAATTGGTTCCATTGTTGTACAGCTCTAACAGCTAGGAATTTTCCCCCTGATATTTAACTGAAATCTGACCTCCTGTAACTTGAGCCCATTGTAGTGTGTCCTGTGTTCTGAGACCACTTCCAGAGTGCAGGACATCAATCACTCTAACCACTGCAGCACACTGTTTCAGAGGATGCTTGCCTCTGACCCTTTGCTCAGTGTTACCTTGTCCTCCCAACTAGTGATAAAGACCTTCAGCTCCGGACATGTCAATTCCTTAACCAGTTAGCATGTCTTAGGGAAGAGTTAAGCAATTGTTTTCTGCCGCTCCCCCCTCCCATCCCCTTTCTCATTCTCTTCCTGTCTCACACATTGTCAAAGGCAGAGAAAATCGCTCCCAAGCGCAGGTGGCAGACACCTTCCATTGACATGCACGGCGTGGGTGCTGCTGTCACGAATCCAGCAAGGGGCTAGGAGAGAAAAGGTGCTGAAGAATTGGTTTGTAAGCGATGAAAGAGCTCCTTGCGCGGAAATAGGCTCGGTTCATTTATAGAAAGCACTCAAACATTCTGGGAGAGGTGTGAGAGATGGATGCACAGCCCAGGGAGGGAGAGAGAGGGGGAGAGTCACTTAGAGGACTGGAATTGTGCCAGTGAACAGAGAGCATCCCAACTGCAGGCTGGCTTGGCTGTCAGATATTCTGAATGGTCACCTAGACATTTTGCTGTGCTTGAAGTGTGCAGAGGACAGAGAAGGGAAGCCCCACGTTTGTTTAGTCATTTAGTCGTGCCTGACTCTTCGTGACCCCATGGACCAGAGCACGCCAGGCCCTCCTATCTTCCACCGCTTCCCGTAGTTGTGTCAATTTCATGTTGGTTGCTTCAGTGACACTGTCCAGCCATCTCATCCTCTGTCGTCCCCTTCTCCTCTTGCCCTCACACTTTCCCAACATCAAGGTCTTTTCCAAGGAGTCTTCTTGTCTCATGAGATGGCCAAAGTACTAGAGCCTCAGCTTCAGGATCTGTCCTTCCAGTGAGCACTCAGGGTTGATTTCCTTTAGAATTGATATGTTTGTTCTCCTTGCAGTCCAGGGGACTCTCATGAGCCCCACACTTCACTGTAAACTTTGCAGGCTAGCCTGATTTCTGCAGCCACGTGGAGAGGAAAGGGTATACAAGATCATTAGGTGGCCGGTAGCATTTTGTTACGTGGAGCACAGCGGTAAATACAGAGCTTGGAAAGTTAGTTTTAAAAGTAACTAATCATAAGTAATAGTAGGGAAAGACTGGCTGGCAATGGCCTTTGGAAAGCTGCAGAGTCCCAGAGCACCACCAGAAAGAGAGACTGGTAAACGGCTTCTGAGTCCTTTATACTTACAAAACCCAGGGAAAGTTGCCGTAAGTCAGAAGCAACTTGATGGTACCCACTGCAGATGGGGAATGACCCTGTGCCAAACTTAAGGGGAGAAACAATGCACTACAGGTAACCCATAATTAGAGCTGAAATTATTTTATTGTTAAAGAAACTTCAGATCCAGATACTCTTTTTTTTGGTCTGAAAAATCAAACGTACAAATGAAGATTTTATTTATTTATTTATTCCATTTATACCCCGCCTATCTGGTCATTGCGACCACTCTAGGCGGCTTGTGTTGCTTGTGGCTTAAAGACCAGTCACAGATTTGTGGGAGGTTAAGAAATCTGCCGCTGTGATAGTTACATATAATCTGCAGTTAAGGAATCCCCTCTTCTAATGATGACGTCTTTGCAATGTGTAGTTTTGTGCAAAGTGTGAAGAGTTGGCAGCAGAAACAAAATGTTAAGGCTGTCTAGAGAGTCCAAAAACAGGAGGCAGTTCAACACGTTACTCCCCAAGCCTTTCAAGGGTGAACCTTCCGGAGGTCATTCCTGGAATGCAGGCCTTTCCTGTGTTCTCTGAAACTGATTTTCTCAGCCACTATCTCCAATGTGCAGGTAACCCTTTACTCACCAGAAGAGTTTCCTCATCTGGCGTGCCTCCAGCATGCTCCCCTTGATGTCGAGGAGATGATTCCACAGCTTCTCCTCTGAAAGCCCCCAGGATTGCTTAGAGAGTTTGGGTTAGAGAGTTCCGAATCACCCTCTGATGAGGATTCAGCCAGCAAAGGTACAGCCCAGGAAAGACAAAGCTGTCAAAATAAAAGCCTGAAGTGAAATGCCATCATCCAGTGTCAGAAAATGTCCTTTTTTGGATTTCTACAAATCGCCCTGAAAGCCTGGCCAGGCTTATTGGGGGACTCTGGGAATTGTAGTCCAGAAAAGTGATATTTCCAAGCTCTGGACAAAGCTAGCACCAGGGTTGTTATGGGAATAGGACCAAGAAGTACCCTAGTCTTATTGTTTTCAGTAATGTCTCTACCATGCTTTGAATGAATGAATGAATGAATGAATGAATGAATGAATGAATGAATGAATGAATCAATCAATCAATCAATCAATCAATCAATCAATCAATCAAAGTGGAACCATTTTTCCTACCAAAGAGTAAAAAAAAAACACCCACAGTTCTTTGTCCAACCCCCTCACTGTGTGCCTACGGTCATTTTCATGCTTTGCAGGTGTACCTGTACTTGCTACCTGGAACCTCCAGTGGATTTTGCATGCCGCCAGCAGGATAAGGATTCCCTAAAGGCAGCCAGAGAGTCTGTGGAAGAAAGTCCCACCTTCCCCACACTGCCCTACAGTCGCCTCTCCGCAGCCTCTATCTCCGTTTCTCTTACTGATGACAGAGAGACAGTTCTTACTCCGGAAGACGTAGCTGAATACCTGGAGCTCAGCGAGGAGGCAGAGTGTCAAAGGTAATGTTAAAAAACATCTGGATCATTAGTGATGGTTTGGCCCAGGAGAAGTCATGCACGTGTGATATTTCACTGTTTGTGTTTCATCTGACTTTCCCAGTTGCAAGAGGCATAAACTTCTGGCCACCATTTTCTGAGTGTCCAAAAGAGGAAGACCATAGATGGACAAAGTGCAGCCCTTAGGATGTTGTGAGTCAGTAACTCCCACCCATCCACCCCAACCAGCACAAGAGAGAGAGTTGCAACCCAACAACATCTAGAGGGCCTCACTTTGCTGCCTCCCAAATACAACTTGATTCCAGGGTGGTCCAAATCTTTAGTTACTAAGTGACTTCTCCAACTTAATTGAACTCATAGAGTTGCATGAGGACTGAGTGAGGCGAAGCATGTACAATAGGGCCCCCTTATTCGCGGGATCAGTATCTGCTGACTCGTTTATCCATGATCTGAAAAGATTAAAAATATTCAAAGAAAAATCCTAGATTTTAAAGATGAAATTACCAGACCTGGCCACTAGGCAGAGCCAGAGACCATGCTATGAGAAATATATTCATATGGTATCATTACCAGAACCAGCCACTAGAGGGAGGCAGAGACCATGCTGTGTATAGTGTTTGCCATTAAAACAGTATCTGCTATAATCAGTGTTGAACAGCCTCTGTGAGGGTGAGGGGCTTAGTGGAGGAAAAGTGGGATGTTAAATGTTAAAACAGTATCTGCTATAATCAGTGTTTAACAGCCTCTGTGAGGGTGAGGGACTTGGTACTGGTCCCCTGTTGATGTAGGGATCCTGCTGTCCATTGCTTTCAGCTTAGTGGAGGAAAAGTGGGATGTTAAATTTAACAAACCAAATCATGTTGATTTGGGTAGGATTTAGTCTCAAGTAGATTTGTTCCTGATGGCACTTCTCTCTGCCCTGCTTGTTCCTCTCTCTGACCGGTGATGTGGCACAGCTTCCCTAACCCTCTGCATGTTGAAATAGCTATGAATCTCATCATCCCCCCGGGAAGTATAGATCTTTCCCGTTGTGGATGGGGATGAGGGGAGTTGTAGCATTGCGTGCTGAGATGGCACCAGGCAGGTTGGTTTAGCGCAGTGAGGCCTGACCTTTTTGAGCCTGAGTGCCCAAACTGAAAACAACAACCACAACCACAACCCGGCAGGTGGAGGTGGAGGTGGAAGCGGCAGCAGTGGAAGTGGTGCCAGATGCAGGAATCCTGGGCACGGAGGTGCCTCACAACAACAACCCGGCAGGTGGAGGTGGAGGTAGAAGCAGCAGCAGTGGAAGTGGTGCCAGATGCAGGAATCCTGGGCACGGAGGTGCCTCCAGACCCCACTCTGGATCCGCCTCCAGTCGTGCCCAACTCTGCCAGCTGCTCCGGATCCTGGCCTGCCACCTGTCGGGGCGCTAGCACCACGGCTGCCTCCTCCTCCTCCTCAGGTTTGGTTGCCGGGGGTAGCGATCCAGCGACTTAGGGCTTGCATGTCCACAAAGAGGGCTCTGCGTGCCAACTGTGGCACTCGTGCCATTGGTTTACAATCATTGGTTTAGCGCATCAGCTAAGATGGTGACGCCTGAGATGAGTCCCCTCTCCATCCACCAATGCTAGCTATGTGTCCTTGGATGAGTGGCTGCCACTCCGCAGGTGCCTGCTGCCCTCTGAGTTCTTTTGCAGGGCAACGCCGACAGTCACTTGAGATGAGGAATCAATTATCTATATTTCTACCCTTCTTCCTCAAAGGAGTTCAAGGTAGCCCTCTTCCCACATGATCATTACAACCACCTTGTGAGGCAGGCAAGCCTGAGAACAAGTACAGTGGTGCCCCGCATGACAATGATTATTCATACCTTAGAAATCGCTGTTTAGCGAAATTATCGTCATGTGAAATACGTTTTCCCATTGGAATGCATTGAAACCCGTTTAATGCGTTCCAATGGGGAAAATACCTCGTCGTCCTGCGAAGATTGCCCATAGGGAAGCTATTTTGCGGTGCCAATCAGCTGTTAAAATGGCTGTCCTGCGAAGCATGGGTCCCGAAAACACGGAGAAGCCATTTTGCGGAGCCACTGATCAGCTGTAAAAATCATGGTTTTGCGAACAAACAGTTCGCAAAGCATGGACCAAATCATCGTCCAGCTAAAATCCCCCATTGGAGTGACTGTTTTGCAAATCGCTATAGCGATCGCAAAACCTCATTGTCATGCGGATTCATCATTTTATGAGGTCATCGTCTAGCGAGGTACCACTGTATCTGGCTCAACGTCACTTAGTGAGTTTCATGGCTCAGTGGGGATTTAAACCCAGACCTCCCATAGTGGAGTCTAGCCCTGTGATATTGGCACCATCCTGTCTTTCTTCTCTCGCATTTCCTCACCATCAGGTGAAACATCAGAGCTTGGAAAAAGTTTCGGGTGCTTCTAATTCCTGAAACCCCTTAGCCAGCCTGGCCATGCCATTCAGGTGACTTGGAGAATTGTAGATGCAGAGGGGAACTTTTCCAAAACCCTGCAAGGGATCAGCCCGGACCGAAGACTTCGGAAACATGCCACACGGCTCCACCCTGGTCTTATGGGGACTGGGCTTAAGCTAAGGCTCCCGCTTCCTCTGGCTGCCATCGCAAGCCTCGCTGGGCTGTAATTAGCTAATGTGCCTGCAACTGCTGCCTCTGCAGTTTGGAGATGGGTTGCCCCGCAAGACTGACTCCTTGCATTTTTGTAATTAGGGTTGGGAGGACAGGGAATGGCTGACGTTACGGGAAGCCCATTGATCCCGCTCCGATAATTACAGCTCCATTTAGCTCCTCGGTGGACTGACCGCCTGCTAGCTCAATATATTTTTGGCCGTGTTTAACCAGCCTCCGCCAGTCCTGCATGCCAGCTGCCCTGCCTTCCGAGTCCAAGACGCATTCCGCTTTCGAGGTACGGAGGGAGATTAAAAAAGGCTGTTCCTTTGGGACTCAGAAAGCCAGGGATTTAATGTCGGCCTCAGCTGCACAAACAGAAGAAGCCGCGTCGTTCTGAGAGACGTTGCTGGGCTGTCGATGGTCTGCTCTCTGCCTTTTCTCACCCCAGCGGGTGCCTTCCAGAGAGGTGCAACAACAAGTCCCATTGTCTTTAGTAATGTCGTTTCGAGAGACGTTGCTGGGCCATTGATGGTCTGCTCTCAGCCTTTTCTCACCCCAGCAGATGCCTTACAGAGAGGTGCAACAACAAGTCCCATTGTCTTTAGTAAAGTGTGGTTGCAGGGGCTAGTAGGAGTTGTAGTCTGACACCTCTGGGGTGAAGGAAGACAGGTGTACTTAAACTGACAACCTCTCTCTGGGGTCAGAACAGGGACTTTTGCCAGTCTGGTGCTATTTAAAACCCTAAACAAGGAGGCTGAACATGGGACCTTACAGGTGTACAGCATGTGCTCCTCCAGGGAGCTCCAGCCTCTGGAGAGAATGACCCTCTCCACACTTGTTAGCCATCCAAATGGGCTGTTTCCCTGTTTCTCCACTGTGCGATATTTGGGACAGAGTTTTCATGCCAGGAAAAGGGACGTGGTGGCGCTGTGGGCTAAACCGCAGAAGCCTGTGCTGCAGGGTCAGAAGACCAAGCAGTCGTAAGATCGAATCCACGCGACGGAGTGAGCGCCCGTCGCTTGTCCCAGCTCCCATCAACCTAGCGGTTCGAAAGCATGCAAATACGAGTAGATAAATAGGGACCACCTTGGTGGGAAGGTAACAGCGTTCCGTGTTTAAGTCATGTGACCACGGAAGACTGTCTTCGAACAAAACGCTGGCTCTATGGCTTGGAAACAGGGATGAGCACCGCCCCCTAGAGTCGAACACGACTGAACAAAAATTGTCAAGGGGAACCTTTACCTTTACTTTTCATTCCAGGAAGGGAAGCTCTTACCCTAGGCCCACTCTGACCTGTTGAGTTCCTGTGTCAAGCCTGGCAAGGGTCCCGAAGAAGCCCCAGCCCTCTGCCCTGCCTCCTGCCGCCTGGTTCCAGCAAAGCTCCCGTGTGCTGCCGGTCTTCCCAGAGACCAAGGAGGAGCCACTGCGTCTCTGGCTGCCATTCCTTCTCATTTCAAAAAGAAGAAAACTGCCCTGTAGTCCCTGGGGCACACAGTGCCTTGTGGGAATTGCCAGGGTTTGTGGGAGTGGAAACCTTGCTGCCCATTAGGTTCTATAGAGCAGTGGTCCTCAACGTTGGGCCTCCAGATGTTCTTGGACTGCAATTCCCAGAAGCCTTCACCACCACCTCTGCTGGCCAGGATTCCAGAAGCCTTCACCACCACCTCTGCTGGCCAGGATTGCTGGGAGTTGAAGTCCAAGAACATCTGGAGGCCCAACGTTGAGGACCATTGCTATAGAGGGCTCTCCTAAAGAACTATGCCTTCCATTAACCCTTGCATTCCCCATAAGCGTAGTACCCTCCAGGGACCACTAGGGGAAAGGTCCCTCTGGTTGAAACGAACAGAATGGCGACTGGAGATCCACTACATAAGTAGGGACAGTGGCTCTGGAAATGTTGGGGGCAGAAGGACTATCCTTTACAAAAGGCAACTGAAAGACGGGATTTATTCTATAAATGAATTGAGTCAATAGACATCGTATGAAGAGCATACAGTGAAATGAGAACTTAAATCTGGAAGGCAGAAAATAGTAAAAAGAGCAATTTGGAATTTTGATATGTATAGAATGGAGGTTAGTATGTATGTTATTGTTTCTCCTTTCCCCCCTTAACCTCAATTCCCTTTTTCCTTTCTGTCACCCCTTGTTAAAAATAAATTTAAAAAAATGTTGGGGGCTACATCTTCTAGAAATCCTGGCAAATTCTGGGAGCTGCCATCCAAAAGAAATGAAAGTCACATGCCCACTGCTGTCCAGCTCTTTCCCCCTGCCCCATAAGATTTGCTGCAACCTTTGCTTTGAAGTCTTAGGTCAGAAATGAAATGCTGTTTTAAAAATGCATGCCATGGTCATTGTAGAAGCAGTTTGGCCCCACC